GCAGTGTTTTTTTCCTTCTTAGTTGACATTTTCTCTCTCTCCCTCTCTTTCCATCTACGCAGAACTCGTTTATTTCCTTGGAAGTTTTTCAAGTTTTTCACAATTTTCATTCTTACATTTCCAAATGGCGAACAACGCAGATCCGAGTCACCGCGTGCAACATGGTACATCCCGGGAAGCTATCGATGAAATTGCGAGGGAAATGGTAGTCGAAACTAATCACAACTTGGTAGAAGCATGGAGTTGTGCGGCAAGATATTATTACAACCATTATCACAAAGTCCCTCGAAATACATCAATACTTTCGGGACGTTTATGGATGTTTGAGTTGTTTAACGGCCACTAGGGCCGGTTTGAAGATGCTGTCAATATGTCACAACCAGTGTTCTTGTTGTTAAGCGACGCGCTTCATAGTTTTGGGTTGACGTCGCCGCAGCGGGAGCATGGCGTTCCGTTGGAAGAGAATGTAGCCATTTTTATTTGTGCGTTGCAGGGTCTATCTTGGAAAAATTTGCAAGAACGGTTCCAACACTCAAAGGAGACATTGTCACGCAATTTTCATGAGGTAATGCAAGTTATGATACCGTTTACATCGGTTCATAGTAGGAGTCTTACGCCCGAACAAGTACAACAAGGGAGCCATCCACATTTACGGTCGCAACAGCGGTATCGGCCATTCAAGGTGACAATTTCCATAAATGTGCAAATTTTTTAAAGCTTTGAAAAAAACCATGATTAAGTTATGTTAATTTGTAAAAGAGTAATGCTAGAGACCCCAAATATTCTACCAAAAGTTTTACCAAATGTCTCACATGGGTGTGGGCCCCACACAATGTGGGTCCAATGTGGGTCCCACACCCATGTGAGACATTTGGTAAAACTTTTGGTAGAATTTTTGGGGCCTCTAGCATTTTTGTTTGTAAAAAATTGATGCGTTGCGTAGGGTTGCATCGCTGCATTGGATGGGACGCACGTGATGGCTCGTGTCTCGCAAGAGTACGCCACATCATACTATGACCGGAAAGGCGTGTCGACACAGAACATAATTGCCGTATGCGACTTTAACTTGTGCTTCACATTTGTCTCTGTCGGTTGGGACAGGAGCATGCACGACAGCCGGGTTTTGCACTACGTGACAACCGAGCCGAAACATCGCTTCCCGCATCCCGCACCAGATAAAAAATATTAAACAGAAATATGAATACGTAGAAAATATAAATATAAATATTTTCAATAATGTATTTTCTTGGCAGCAAAATTGTGAAAATTATTGTCTTTTTTTTATTTTATTTTTATTTTGTCAACAAAATCAGTTTTCTAATGTAGTTTATTTCCCATTGTTCAAAATTTTTGCAAACAAATTAAAAAAATGAAACAAATGAAAATGAAAAGTTTTGAAAAATAATTAAGTGGTAAATAAGAATGTGAAAATGAAAATGAAATGAAACAATTTATAATTTAAATTAATAAAAAAAATTGGAAATAGAAATAATGTTAATGAAATAGAAAGTAATTAGAAATATAATTTCGTAATTGGAAATATAATTTTTCACAATAAAAGAACTTCACAATGAAATAGTAATCGAAAACAAAAATGGAAAAAGAAAAATTTACTAATGAAATAATTGACAGCTCTTCATTCTTATAAATTGAAAAAGAATTAATTATTATAATTCGCACAAAATGCTGTAATTGGAAATATAATTTTGCACAACAAAAGTAATTGCGAAGAAGAGTAATTGAAAACAAAAGGTCTTAACAAGAATAATTCATTATTAGATGAACAAAAAACTGAGACAAGTTAATTGAAACATAATTTAAGTGGTAAATAGTAATTGAAAACAAAATTGGGATAAGAACAATTTTTACTAATGAAAATGTAATTGTCATAAAAAAAATTAATTATTATAATTCACAAATAATGTTGTAATTGGGAATATAATTTTTGAGAACAAAAGAAATTGGGAAAAGGAGTAATTGAAAACAAAATTGGGAAAAAAATAATTTAGTAATGAAATTATTCAACAAATTTATTATTATTAACAAAAAAAAAAAAAAATTACGAACCAAGACAAGTTAATTAAAGAATAATTTAAGTGGTACACAATACTGTCAAATTGAAAATGAAATGAAACAAATTTTGTAGGAAAATACTATTTGGTGGATAGCGGTTATAGCAACAAGACAGGGTACCTAGCCCTCTACAAGGGGTATAGGTATCACCAAAATGCCGATCGAAATCGAACACCGCAGAATCAGTTCGAAATGTTCAACAATGCACATTCGTTATTGCGTAGTTGTATTGAGCGGACATTCGGTGCCTGGAAGTTTAGGTGGGAGGTATTGCGGAATATGCAGAAGTTAAGTTTTTCTAATCAGGTTACATTTGTATGTGCGTCGATGGCGTTACATACCTTCATACGCCGACATAGCGAACTTGATGAGGTCACGATGACTATCCCAGATAGTAACGATTATGTGGCCCTCCAAATGCTCGACTACGACGAATACACACGGGTTGTTGATATGATAGAGGAAGGGGACTCCGACCTTGCAATGGCCGTTGTAAGAGCGAACATTACGAACGAACTCGTACAGCAAGTGCACCGGTAGGGGCAAATTGGAAATACAAGAATATTGGTTGAAGGTTGTTAATATCAGTAACTGAGATTCATATTTGAAAATTTGTTTGGTTTTAATAGTTTCATGTCTTTCGGAGCGTAGACATTTTCAACAAATTTTATTTTTAAAGAAAGTATGTCCACTAATTAACATATATAAACATGGGGGAAGTTTTTGCAATATCTTTTATAATAATTTGTTCTCAACATGGCATAAAAAAATTATTTCTAGCCATTGGTTAGAAAAAAAAAAACATAAAAAAAAAAAAAATTCATGATTGGGCATGTACGTGGTTTATCTTTTTTTATTCACATGTTATGATATGAATTTCAAAAAATACATAGCAGACCTGCAATAACAACTCAAACAAAATAAGGAAAAAAAATAAAAAAGTTATATTTCGTACAAGTGGAACACTGTGCGTCCGTGTTCCACTCGTTTCCAATTTTCGAACAATAATGGAACAATTGCAACCTCTGCTTGACATGCATGGAAAACAAGGAAGTCACTTTCTCTTCGCCTTGCTGTGTCAGTATGAAGGGTAAAATAGTCATTTCTATTGTTCTAATAATATTTTATTACACATTTATTCGAAAAAAGTCAAAAAGTTAACTCAAACTTTCATATTTTTTTTCTCAACTTTTTAATCCAAAAAGACAAAAAGTACACTTATTTAGGACATCCCAAACAACTCTTAAAACTTATTATACATTTTATTTTAAAAATAATGGTTGGCCTTATTATTAAAATTTATTACTAATATTTCAAAAACAACAATAAATTCTTTTACTTTTTTGAATATAATAACATGTTTATTGCTCTATGTAAAATGTGAAAAATTTGTTATAGTAAATATTCGGGCTTGTTTAGTTTGTTTTTCAGAAAAATTTTTGAGAAAAATTCTCTACAAACAAATTTTTAAGAATAATCAAATCAAAAAAAAATTTTCAAAAAAAATCTCAAAATTTTGTTTGGTTACCTACTTTCCAAAATCACTCTCTCTCATATACATCAAATCAATCATTTTTTTAAAACTCTCTTTCCAAAACAATTTTCCAAAATCATTTCTGAAAAAAGGCAAATCAAACAAGTTTTCGTACTTTTTATCTCAAAAACTACTCTACAAACACAAGCCAAACACACCATTCATTTTTTTTTTTTTTTGATTTGGGATAATGATGCAGACTGAATTTTAGAAAATATATATTTTTATTTTATTATTTTAAAATTAATATTTGACCATGAATATTCTAAATTGGTATAGAATATTATGGAAGTATTTAGTTATTTAGTTTCCTAATTTAATATGATGTAGTTTTCCTATTTTCTTAGTTTTGATTTTATTTCCTATTTTATTTGTTTCTTGTTCTACAAGAATTAGGTTCATTATAAATAAAGATGTAAAGCCTTAGGGCTCTAGCATTTTTTGATGATTAATATATTTTGAGTTTTATTACTCTTTGTTCCAACTTTGGTTAATTCTGTGTGAATCAACTTTGGTTGAGCCTTTAAACTCGGTATTCTTGAGGAATCAACGAGTCTAGAGAAGAGTCTTATTTCCGGTATTCTTGTGTGAATCAACGGATCTTAAGATTGTTACTATTGTTTCGATCAGCACTGCATCAGATAACCTATAAAAATCAAAAAGTTAAAAAATTATTAAAAAAAATCAAAAAGTCCATACTATTTAGGGAAGCTTGTGGAAAAGTCTAGAGGGTAAAATTACTATTTTGTCCTTTGAATTCAACTATTCAAAAATCAAAAAATTAAAAGTCAAAGTTAATAAGGGTAAAATAGTCATTTTAATTTTATTATAATATTTTATTATATATCTTTTTATAAAAAATTAAAAAATTATTCTAAAGATACAATTTTTTTTTCCTCTCCCTTTTTTAAACTAAAAAAATCAAAACACTTATATAACTAGAAATATTTGAGATCCCACAAAAAAAATCTCTATAACTCTTACCAATGTATTGATAGTTGATATATTTAATTTTTTTTTAAATTGGTGTCTGACACGAATAGTTTAGATTTTGGAGTCATCTAACCTATGCCAAACAATTGTCCAATCATCACTCACTTTCTCAAACTTTAAATCAAATGAAGAGAATTAATGCCGGCACGAAACGACCGCCAGTGTATCGTTTAAATTTCGCTGCAAAAGTCTGTCTCGCGATTTCCAACCTGTACCCAATCACGCAACGCCACCACATTCAACTTTCTTTTAGGAAACTGTCCTTGTCTGATGTGGCAAACAAGATTGAACAGAACAATCCGACTGTAACAAAACAAATAAAACTCGGCCACAGTGGCTACTTTCCCAAATTTAAAAAACATTTGACAAAGTCTCCAACGCTAGACAGACGTAAGAGTTCACGAGATTGGCGCCACTTTTGCGGCATCATTTTGCTTTTTTCAAAATTTTCTCGGGAAAATTATGGAAAGAAAAAGAAAAAGAAAATTATATCATGTCGTTTTTATTGGCATTGGTGTTGACTCACGAGCAAATTTCAGACTCTCTCAACCGAATTGAGTAGAAAAGTCGATCCACTACGCGTTGTTCGTTCCCAATACAAAGACTCAGATCCGATTACTTCGTCAAAAATTCGGATCATTCGATTTTCCTATACAATCTCAGAGTTTGTGTAGAGAGAGCGAGAGAGAGAGAGAGAGAGAGAGAGAGAGAGTATTGGAATGTTTGTTTTTGTTTTGTGAATTCACAGATCTGATTGGAAGCAAAGAAAAGAAAGGAAAAAAAAATTCCCATTTTCTTTGATCGGGAAACAGTGCTGAATTTGAATTTTTGTTGTTGCCAGATTCATGAGCAAGGAACCGGTGAAGTTAGACGATGAACAGCTCGCAGAATTGCGAGAAATTTTCCGATCATTCGATCGAAACAACGATGGAAGCTTAACTCAGCTCGAACTCGGCTCGTTATTGAGATCGCTGGGTTTAAAACCGAGTCCCGATCAGCTCGAAACCCTAATACAGAAAGCGGACACGAACAGCAATGGTCTCGTGGAGTTCTCGGAGTTCGTGGCTCTGGTGGCCCCGGAGCTTCTTCCGGCGAAATCGCCGTACACGGAGGAGCAATTGAAGCAGCTGTTTCGGATGTTCGATCGGGACGGAAATGGATTTATCACTGCGGCGGAGTTAGCACACTCAATGGCTAAGCTCGGACACGCTTTGACGGCGGAGGAGCTCACCGGGATGATCAGAGAGGCGGATACCGATGGAGATGGAAGAATTAGCTTTCAGGAGTTCTCTCAGGCGATTACTTCGGCAGCGTTTGATAATTCATGGGCTTGATGTTTGGGGATTTTCAGGTACCTTGGTTTTTCTCCCTTTTGTTTTCTTTGATTTCATTGCATTTTTATGAAATTTGATGAAAATGGGCGTTGATTATATCATTTATATGTGATTTGGGTATGAAGTAAAGGGTGATTTTTCATTCAAAAAATGTACAAACACTATGAAACAATTGGGTGTAGAATCATATCTTCAGATAATCCAGGCAATCAATCATATATTGCAAATTGTATAGTGCTCTGATTATGTTTCATAGTGTTTAGAAATGGGAGTAGTATAGTAGTAAAAAAGGAAGGGCTAAGAAGCCGAATTTCTCAACTCTACTGGTTTGTTTGGTTAGAGTATTTGAGAAGAGATTTGGAATGAAAAAAAAAAAGAAAGTGTATGAAATTAGATGAAATATAAATATTTGTTATTCACATTTTACCTATATTTTCTTTTTCTTTTTTTTAAATCTGTTTTCAAATTCTCCAACCAGCAAAAAAGAAAATTGATGGCGAAACAAATTCCTGAAAGCTTGACTTCATGCTTATTGTTTTAATTTTTATTTTTGCAGGTTAGACCGCGCTCCCAAATTTGTTTGCCGGCAGATGATTCTGCTATGTTCAATCACATACATCATACGGAAGTCAGACATTTCAGAGCTCATTATACTCACCCGTAAGCCAATTTTCACATCCTTTACATTTCGAGAGCCAAGTCATTCTCACCCATAACCTGATCTTCCTGGTGTGAAAATAAAGTTTTTTGTTTTTTTCCCGTCATGGTAGTCCCAATTTTTTGGGTTAGTTCCGTGAACATCATTTCACTTTATCTGTTCGATGCTTTGGGTATCACAGCCACGGATCTTTAGCAACTGTTTTTTAAGGCTTGATGGTAATTTTGTTGACGACAGACAATTTCTGAAATTTTGTTGAGGCATATTTGGCTTAGTAAGCATTGTGAATCCATGTCTACTTGATCTTCTTGTGTTAATTGCTTGGTATTAATATAAAAATAAATAAATAAATTTTGAGGCTACTATTTTATTGATAATTTTTTTTTAATATGCGAGCAAGGATCCTCTAGAGTATTTTTTTCATAAAGTTTTCTAGAATGGTGCATTGTGTGGTTGAGATTTAATGACAAGTCACATTAATTTTTCAACATTAAATCTCAACCACACAATATACCATTTTAGGAAACTTTAGGCAAAAAACACTCTAGAGGATCCTTGGTGAAGTTGCATAGCCGAGTAATAAAACTAAGGGTAAATTATGCTGAAATTCCTTGAGGTTTCTATTTAATACATATTTTTTCACATTTGAAAAATTACATTTTTCTCTCTGAGTTTTGTAATCTCATTATAAATTTGTCTCCTGAATTATTGATGTCATGCTCTAAATTTTTTTAAATAACCATCTTGTCATTTTTTTTTACAATTTCTTCTTCTTATCATTATGATTACATTCTATAATTTTCCATCATTGAATTTTACTTGAATATATTCTTACTGAGTGATGATATATAAACATAAATTTTTTATGGAATTTTCATACACAATAATATAACTTAATGGTGACATTTCACTTTAAAACAAAACATTCATAAACATGATTTATATTTATAACAATATAACTATCACAACATTTTTATGATATTTTTAGTATAAATTTTTATATATGAATATAATTTTTCATTTGTATTTCCACTATTATATCTAGATTAGATCAATTTAATCTACATATACTCAAAAAGTATAAAAAAAAAAAAAAAAATCCATTTAACACAACAAAATAAGATAATGTATTGAGTTTTTTTTAATTTTTTTTTTTGTATTTGGTGAATTTAAAAAAAAAATCACAAAATATTATACTTCGTAAGTATATCTAGATTAGGTGTATCTAAAAAACAAAAAAAAAATTACTTAAAATATTAAAAAAATTCAATGAAAACAAAAAAACACAAAAAAATAAAATAAAAAAACTTAATTTTTTTATGTGAGTTAAACCAAAGAAGATAATTGTTATTTCCCTTGAAATGATATGAACAAAATATTTGTATTATTTTATTATTTTATATGTATAAAGGTTAAGGGCAAATATGTTATTTTAATCTGACAGGGGATAAATGTAATTTTTCAAATATGAGAGGGCATTTATATTAAATAGAAATCTGAAGGAGTGTCAATGTAATTTATACTAAAACTAAAACTCAAGCATCAAGACCGGTAAGAAAACCCCTTAACCATTAGACTAACCTCTCATTTATCTCAAACCTTCTTACCTATAACTTGTGTCATTAGACAGGCCAAATATCTCATTTATCTCAAAATTTCTACCTCTTCGTTCCAATTGTATTGTCAACCACAAGATATGATGAAAAATATCTCATTTATCTCAAAATTTCCACCTCTTCGTTCCAATTGTATTGTCAACCACAAGATATGATGAAAAATATCTCATTTATCTCAAAATTTCCACCTCTTCGTTCCAATTGTATTGTCAACCACAAGATATGATGAAAAATATCTCATTTATCTCAAAATTTCCACCTCTTCGTTCCAATTGTATTGTCAACCACAAGATATGATGAAAAATATCTCATTTATCTCAAAATTTCCACCTCTTCGTTCCAATTGTATTGTCAACCACAAGATATGATGAAAAATATCTCATTTATCTCAAAATTTCCACCTCTTCGTTCCAATTGTATTGTCAACCACAAGATATGATGAAAAATATCTCATTTATCTCAAAATTTCCACCTCTTCGTTCCAATTGTATTGTCAACCACAAGATATGATGAAAATAAAATTTTTTAAATAACCATCTTGTCATTTTTTTTTACAATTTGTTTTTCCTATCATTATGATTACATTCTACAACTTTCCATCATTAAATTTTACTTCAATATATTCCTATTGAGTGATGATATATAAACATAAATTTTTTATAAAATTTTCATACACAATAATATAACTTAGTGGTGACATTTCACTTTAAAACAAAATATTCATAAACATAATTTATATTTATAGCAATATAACTATCACAACATTTTATGATATTTTTAGTATAAATTTTTATATATGAATATAATTTTTCATTTGTATTTCCACTATTATATCTAGATTAGATCAATTTAATCTAAATATACTTAAAAAGTATAAAAAATTTAAAAAAAAATCCATTTAACTCAACAAAATAAGATAATGTATTGAGTTTTTTTTAATTTTTTTTTTTGTATTTGGTGAATTTAAAAAAAAAATCACAAAATATTATACTTCGTAAGTATATCTAGATTAGGTGTATCTAAAAAACAAAAAAAAAATTACTTAAAATATTAAAAAAATTCAATGAAAACAAAAAAACACAAAAAAATAAAATAAAAAAACTTAATTTTTTTATGTGAGTTAAACCAAAGAAGATAATTGTTATTTGTTAGGTTTGTATTTGGGAAACATATTTTGAGATAAAAAAGTACGAAAATTTGTTTGGTTTGGTTTTTTTTCAAAAGATGTTTTGAAAAATTATTTTGAGAGAAAATTTTGGAAAAAGAGATTGATTTGATGTGTATGAGAGAGAGATTTGTTTGGAAAACTTGTAAACAAAACAAGTTTTGGAAAAAATTGTTTGGTTTGATTACTTTTGAAAACTTATTTGTAGAGAATTTTTTCCAAATTTTTTTGAGAAACACAAACCAAACAAGGCCTTAATTTTTTATTTGAGTTAAACCAAAGAAGATAATTGTTATTTCCCTTGAAATGATATAAACAAAATATCTGTATTATTTTATTATTTTATATGTATAAAGGTTAAGGAGCAAATATGTTATTTTAATTTGACAGGGGTAAATGTAATTTTTTAAATATGAGAGGGCATTTATATTAAATAAAAATCTGAAGGAGTGGCAATATAATTTATCCTAAAACTAAAACTCATAGCATCAAGACCGGTAAGAAGACGCCTTAACCATTAGACTATCCTCTTAAAGGTTAGTCTCATTTATCTCAAACCTTCTTACCTATAACTTGTGTCATTAGACAGGCCAAATATCTCATTTATCTCAAAATTTCTAACTCATTGTTCCAATTATATTGTCAACCACAAGATATGATGAAAAATATCTCATTTATCTCAAAATTTCTACCTCGTTGTTCCAATTGTATTGTCAACCACAAGATATGATGAAAACATTGAAACAAAACGAATCTCAATGTACGATTGTGTGACTGAAAATGTATTAAGATAGGACAAAAATTTCGAAGGTTTGAGGAGGTTACTTGGTGGTGATACTTGCATCATGCCTTCATCTTCTTCTTGGATTTGAGCATCACCCGCCCAATAAAAATGGATAAGAAGTTGAGAAGTGCCACAGCAGCAAATACAGGTATGAGAGTGGCATATTCTTGTGGAAGAAAGTAGTTGTGGATGAAGTGATCACCATCCACAAATGGCTGAAATTTCATAAAAATCACTGTCAAATAACTAATTTAGTCAGACTCATAACATAAAATTACACTAGATGGAAATTTCAACTCACCAGGATTATGACCCAAAACATATAATAAAAGATAATAGAAAACCAACAGCCCGGTATGCTAATTCCATTTTTGTGACTTTTGCTGCCAGTCACACAAATTCAGCAAATAAGCATTGTTCTTACAGAGTTATACATATCTCTACAGAAAAAAAGTATATACAACAAATAAAAATTTAGATGCAGACTCATGGTGATCTTTTCCCCTTGACCCTTCCCCACGAAAGAAATAGCAACCAACTAAAACATAAGAGTTTTGGCCAGAGCTCGCCCGTTATAAGACAATAGAAAAGGGTTTCCCAACTCCTGTCCTTTAAATTTTCAAATCTCATTTTCTTACCAAAATGCCCCAAAACTAACACTCCAGCAAATTAGCGCTGTTTCAGTTATGGAATGATTTGAAAAATTAAAAAATAAAAAACTTCTGATCTAGTCCAGCTCTGGTTGTCTTAGCACACTCTGGTTGTCGGCTAGGACACTCTAGCGCCCAGCACACTATGGTCTGCTCGGCCACTCCATAGCAAAGTTGTGAATTCCAATATCGGCCAGCATATCATTTCTTTTTTCATTTGTATGGTTACATATGGGTACTCGTGTGTACCAGCAAATACTGTAATGGATTTTTCGCTATCTATTATATATGTATAAAAAAAAAAATTATAATAACCTATAAATTTTAATGTACATTCTGTGACATTCAACACCAAATCATTTAATTTAAGCATGACATAAACATGTTATCCAACACAATCTCTAGTATTAACTCAACAAAGAACAGTATGTTCTGTACAAAGAAAGAACAATATGTATCACATGAAAAGGATGAATTTGATAGCAAACAGAACCAAAAAATGTTCTAGATAAAAGATTAACTGGATCAAGCAAGCAAAATATTGAATTTAAGAGGATTAAGATTGGCCCATTTGTTCTATACTTGTTCTAGATTGAAGCAAGCAAAATATGCCATCTTCAAATTTCACATAAAAATGTTTGCCCTAATCTGATAGCAAACAGATTTTGAATATGGAGCAGAGAGTGAGAGACGGAGAGAGTGATTTATATATATAATGGAGAGGAAGGGCTTTTAACTAACCGATCCAGTCTTTTGGAGCTTCAGGTGATCTCTTCTCTACCAGAGAAAGCAGTTTCAAGCCTTACAGAGTCAAGCACCATGCTGCTAGTCGCCTTTGCCCCAAAGTCAAAACCCAAATGTTAGGGCTGAATGACTGAAAGGTTTGGGCAATCACTTAGGAATCAAAGGTTTGGGTACCAGACTGGTATACTAGTGTATCAAAATTTACCAAAATTCTACGGTGCAACATCTTGGTAAGCATAAAGATTTTCAATGAAACAAAACTTCATGTAAGCGGTTCCATTTTTGGTCTGGTACAGTACGTTTTAGACAGTATGGGACGGGATTAATAACTTTGCTCCATATGGTGGTCTTCCGAGCTGAGCTCTGTTGAGCCACTTGTATCAATATCTTCAGAAAGTTGACAAGTCGAGACCCCTTATCCATGTTGTATGACCCTATGCATGTCTGAAAACCATTGAATAACTTTAACATTATTAGTAAAAAGCCAGTGATGTTGCATTCATACTCTTGCACACCAGAGCTTTTAACATTGTGCCAAGAAATGCTCATTCTCTTACATGACTTGACCAATAATAAGAAAATATTTCATCCCCTTCCCAACTCAATGTTTTGAGTATGTGCACTATATGTTCAATTCTCGCATGAGAAAAATCACCAATTATGAATTTCTCAACAACTCCCTTCACTTCAATCAGACTATGCCGAGGTTCCTTCTTCAATCCACTACCCTTCAGCATCTTTCTTGCCTCTACATCACAATTCGACATCCCATCTGAAGCATATAAATTTGATAATAGAACATAGGGTGAAGTAGTAACAGGATCACGTTTCAAAAGCGTTCTTGCCAAACGTTCCGCAATTAAAACATCTCCATGCAGTCAGCAAGCAGAGAGCAAGCTCACTAAAACAACTGGATCATGCCTAGAAGGAAATTTTTCTATGTATTCTGCAGCCTCCTTTAGTCTCCCAGCTTGTCTAAGTAGATCTATGAGGCAAGAGAAATGCTCAATGTCAGGGGCAATCACATAGATTTCATTCATAGAATTGAAATAGGCTTGGCCCTCATCCACAATCCCTGCACGATTGCACGCTGTGAGAAGTGCAATAAATGTAACAGAATCTGGCTTCAAACCAAGCTCCTTCATCTGCTCAAACAGTTCTAGGGCCTTTGCCTCATGCCCATGATTTCCAAATCCAGAAATGATGCTATTCCATGATACAAGATTGCGACAGCCGTTTTATTAAAAACAGTTTGTGCATATCCAATGCAACCACATTTAGCATACATGTTTACAAGTGCATTATCAACACCTGGATCTCCATCTGGCTTCGTCCTGATCAGATGAGCATGAATCTGCTTGCCATGGCGTACAAAAGCGATGCCAGCACATGCAGCAAGAGCACTCGCATACGTGAAATCATCAAGCCATAAACTAATTACATTTGTCATCTCTTTGAAAATACTCAAACCTTTTCCATGATCATCACAATGAGAACAAGCAGCAATAAGGGTATTCCATGAAATGACATCTTTCTCTTCAATCAATCTAAAGGCCTTCTCTGCTTCTATCATGCTGAACTTTTTTATCACATTTCTGAGGGAAAGGCTACGGTGTACACTTGGTGTGCACCTATCACAAATTGTTATAATTTTACCACAAAATTTCATAACATTAATTATAAAATGCATAATCTCGCCACAAATTACCGTAATTGTTGGCTATATAATTTGTAAAAGGCAATCACAATTCAATACGTGGCATGAAGAGAGCAATTTGGAGAGTTAATACAAGTTGCTAATCATAGTTGGACACGTGTCAGTCCGTATTGATAATAATAATGGATCTGCGTAGCATTGGAACAATCGAGGGATATAAGGTGATGTGGCCTAACGGTTACTCACAAAGTTCAAATTCAAAATCAGGAGGAAAGCCTAACTGCAAAGGTGGCATGGTGAGACTGACTGTGAGAGAGCATGTTCAGCAATCATGGGAGGACATTTCGACGGTTAGAAGCCCACTTCGACGGTTATCATTAAGAAGTATAAATAGCAGAGAAGGCCCCAGAATGAGGCATCCATACTTAGATCAAAAAACCAATTTTATTTACTTTGTTTTCCCTTCCAGTTTTTACAGTTCTTCACATTTCTATACTTCAAATTCTTGTACTGCACTTAATTCATAGGAGTAGTTTCAAATAGCTTGTTGCTATAAACCTCTATGAGGCTGGGTCAGATCATTGTAAGTTTTTCATTTTTACTTAATGAAATTCTGAAATTATTCTTCACTTAATTGTTATTTACTAAATTCTCCTAAACAAGCCACCAGTAAAAGTCCTCTTCATTGAGGTTGAGAGAACTAAAACACAATCGTCTGATAATTGGTTGGCAATTAATCTTCTATGAGGACTGATTGATCTTTGCTAGCACGCTTAAAATTACAAAATTAACCTTCGAAAGTCAAAAAAGCCAACATATATTTTTGGCACGTCCAGTGGGACTAATTGAAATGGCTAGACGTAGGAGACAAGGAGAAAATGAACGTCTGGAAGAAGGTGTGGAAGGAGAGATAGAAGTACTCGATTCAGAGGATAATGTGATAGCACATCCTATAGAAGCACCTATCTCATCAGAACCTATGGTAAACCAGTAATTCAGAACATGCACCACATGTTCAAAATATTGGATGGGACCATGGAATTGAACCATCCACTGTTCCATCTACTCAGCCAATGAATCCATGGGAAGGCCTGGTAGATGCCATGGGACAACAGTTAATGAACATAATGGAAAGATGGGCAATATCCTTTATGGATGTGATGAATTCTTATCAACCAACAAACATAAGGCATATGAAGGAAAATTCAAATGTTCCTCAGCAAAAATTGACTAGAGATAAACAGTCTATGCAAAGTAATAGACATACTAATGGTCAGACTAGTAATCAAAATTATGAAGGGCCATCACCTATACCTCAATCATGGTATGAGCCTCTTTCGAGGCCTATAGTAAATCAAAATGCTTCATTACCTAACAATGAAGCCATACGAATTGGTGAATTTGGGCCAACACAACAAAATGGCATGAGAATGTTTTCAAATCCCATGTTCGAAGCCATACCTGGCACAAAGGGGTTCACTAATCCTTTGTTCGAATTCATACCCAGGAGATTGGAAGGGTTTCTTGCGGCTAGGAAAGAAACAACACCTGTTCCTCCTATTGTAGGCCCTTTCGCAGGTCCTTTTACAGGACAGGCTCAGAGAGGTCAACCATACCCTTAACAGCAGCCAGTACCACAGGGACAACCAGTCCCAAATATACCTCACTATGGACCAAGAGGACCTCAAGCACAAGGGTTTCCACTAAATCCTGTGTTTGTTCCTCTAATGGTAGTCCAACAAGCACAAAATATGGTTCCTAGGGACCAAATCGCTGATATTGTTAGAGAAATGTATGGACTTATGGCTCGAGGGGTTCAAACTCCTGTGTATAGGAAGCCATACCCAGAATGGGTGGATAGGGGGCATGAATATCCAAAGGGGTTTAGAATACCAAATTTTGCTCTTTTTTATGAGAATGAAAACCAGTCAACAGTAGAATACATTGTTAGGTTCGTAGCCCAATGTGGTGAATTTACCAATAATAATTACATGAAGTTAAGACTTTTTCCAAATTCTCTAACTGGGGCAGCTTTGTATGGTATATTAACCTTACACCTGGCTTTATCCAAACTTGGCAGCAAATGGAGGAGGCATTTCATGCTCAATTCTTCCAAATAGAGCCAGAAGTTTCCATGACAGACTTGGCAAGGTTGAGTCAAAGGCCTGATGAAAAGGTTGTTCAATTTATTGCTCGATTCAAAAGAGCGCGAAACAAGTGTAGGGTCATTCTACCAGAGCTTCAATTTGTGAGATTGACTCAAAATGGTTTAGAGTTTAAGCTTCGAAAGAAGTCCGACTCAACTGAGTTCCGAGACTTAATGGAATTAACCTATAAGGTGTCTAGATATGAATCATTACTTGAGGAAGAACAAGATCGAAGTAATGCATCATACAAGACTTATTATAGAGACCTTAATTACGAGATTATCGTTAATCTTGGGTCGGGGTTGTTACAAAGCCTGTGATTTGTGAGGCGTTAATTCATAAAGACACTACAATAGACCAGCAGTTTAAAAAGAAAGACTTTCATAGGAAATACTCTTTCGACTTAACAAAGGCAGATGACATTTTTGATCATTTGCTTACAGCAAATTTCCTAAAGTTACCAAAGGGAGTTAAAATTCCTTCTCTAGAAGAACTTAAAGGGAAAATGTATTGTAAATGGCACAATTCTTAGTCTCACTAAACTAAAAACTGTATTATTTTTCGGGACAGGATCCAAGAACAGAATCGAAATGGGAGTTTAAAATTTCCAACTAAAGCAGAGAAAGCTATGGGGATTAACACTAATCTATTCCCAGAGATTGGAGAAGTTACAACCAATGTTGTTGGGCCAAACTTCCAGAACCTATCCTTAAAGGAATTGGAGGAGGTTAATGTGCAGATGCATGTTGCCAGCCAGACTACTGTCAAGGAAGATACCAGAAGTTCACTAGCGAATGGGCAGAGCTTGGCAGACCAAAAGGAGGACTCTAGTGAGGAGGCAATGGATGATGACTCCTTAAAGCCAGCTGTCGTGCAAAGAATGTGTCCCAGATGCAGGTTAAGTTACAAATGGTTGAAAGGGCTTCTAATTGATGGGAAACAATATTACAAGGATGTGCAGAGACATCCTAAACCAACCAATACCGACAACAAGAGGCCATACCCAACTGGTCCCAGACAGTAGCCACTCTTGGTCGGACCATCAACTACTAGAGTGCATTCCAAGGGCAAGAGACCTCTACATGAGTTCAGACCACCCAACTATTACAGGGTGAAAGGCAATTATCCTGAGAGGAGGCCTGAAGTGGGCTCAAGTTATGGAATCAGAGCCGAAGATTGACCTCCAAGATCAGCCTCAAACAAGATGGAAGGTAACCAGCCTGACAGAAGGCTTGAATTAGGCTCAAGACAGGAGATCAGGGCCAAGTAGTGACCTCCACAGGCAACTTCGAAGCTGGCTTCAAAGGCAGAAAGAGCTAGTTTAGCAACTAAACTAGTGAGTTCATGGGTACTTGAGATTCCATATTGGTTTGTCAGGCAGAACAAGCCTAAGGAAATGTTTACCCAAAGAAGAGTTTTTGGAGACCAGGGTCAAATGGTTAAACCTCCCTTAGTGACTCCAAATAATTGGGTGTTACTAAAGCACCGAAAAACAAAGGAACCAAATGTGGTTCCAGTAATTTCTAGGTCTCAAAGGAGGAACATCCAGCGAAGGTACACTCAGTACCAAAAGGATTTGAAGGAAAGTGGAGAGAGTTCTTCATTGACCTAATGTAGACACCCCATTTTTGACCGTCCTCAAGACTTGGACGTCATCGCTTGAACACTCGATGATCATCCATGTTCGTGTTCGTTTTGAGTTCCCGAAGGTCTTGGCTGCGTGCCTTGCCCTAGGATCTCTCAACTTGTCTGTTTTGTGCTTGGTTGTGGACCAAGGACTTGTGGTTTTGCTTCTGAGGGAAGGGGGTGGCTTGTTGGCCATCTCCACACCCCATCGGCTATGGCGTGATGCCATCGGCCTTGCTTCCTTGCCATTGGCCATAAATGTTGGCCGGTTGGCACTTTTGTTGGTCGGTTGGCACTTACTTTGGTCTATCGGCTATATTTTCTGGCCGAGGCCTTTTCTTTGCCTTTTTCAGGCATTTTGCATGCCAGCTGTGCCAGCTGGTGAGCACAGACCCTCCCTTCCATACACGTGTATAGAGAGATTTGAACCAAAGCTTAGCTTCTCTAAGAAGCTTTGAATTTGATTTCTTATAAGAGGGGAGCCTCCCCCCCTTGCCAGAGGTTCAGCAAAATAGATATAGAGTTCATAGATCTCTCTCTCTCTATATATCTCTCTCTCTCTATATATTTGTGTGTGTGTTGGTGCCTTAAAAGTGTATTTTGTTCATACTTTTGCACTATAGCACCTAGTAGAACACCTTCCTTTGATTGCTGAGGCACTAGGAAGTTGGTTTCAGAGTTCTTGGACTGGTTTTGATCCAAGGGGGTGGCTGGAGTTGTGTTCTTGAAGGTGTTCTTTAAGGGTGAGCAACTAACCTATTGTTTCTCCATTTTGGCTTAAGCTTTTAGACCTATTTGCATATTGTTTTAAGCTTAACTATAAACTGAAAAAAGTTCTGTTTTGTGTGCTTAAGATGATTGTTTAAAGTCACTTTTTGGTTGGGGGTTGTCTACTCCCTCTTAGGCCTTGTTTGGCCTTATTTTGAGCCACCTCTTTTGGCCTTTGTTCTTGCCTTTGCATGACCTTTCTACCACTGAAATCCAGAGGATTTTCAGTGGTGGAAAGGTAGTTTTAGAGTCTTGTATAGGAGAGGGGCACCCCTCTCTCCTTGTGTCTCATATGCTTGTGTTATTGGCTCATAATGGTAGCATGTTTTGGCTTCATTTCAGCAAGTATTTGGTGTCATTTGGTCGTGATATACC